TCATTGATGTTTCTCTCTCTCTCCCTCTCCCTTCCTCTCTGTAAATCAATAAGGAAATATATTTTTTTAAAAAAGTCTTCAAGCGATTGAACCTTGGTAAGGATCCGCCACATAATTTGCTGTCACTCTGAAGTATAAGTGGGTTCCTTGTCACGTAAATTCAGCCCTGGCCCTGCGTGGGCGGGGGCTACACAAGGATGGGAACCTGAGGAGCTGGGGGTCATTGGGACTCCTGGCCCCACCCCTGTTCCTAGTGGGTTTTTTTAAAAATATAGTTTTATTTCAGAGAGGAAGGGAGAGGGAGAGATAGAAACATCAATGATGAGAGAGAATCATGGATCGGCTGCCTCCTGCACGCCCCACACTGGGGATCGAGCCCGCAACCCGGGCATGTGCCCTGACCGGGCATCGAACCGTTCATAGGTCGATGCTCAACCACGGAGCCACGCCGGCCGGGCCCTAGGGGGATTTTCAAGGACATAGAATAAAGTCATCGGAAAGGGATCCAGGATTTAAACGACACAACCCCGCTCACTTCTTTCTTTTAACCAAGACATCTTTTCTTTTAATTTTTCCTTCTTTCCACTGACCCTCATGTTGCAGATTATGAGACGCACAGGCCTCTGCCTGCAGCACCTGCCTCACCCGCAGACAGGGAGTCTCGTGCCACTCAAAATCGCAAAAGAGGAGGCAGGATTATTAAGAAGGGCTGAGGCCTGTCTCATGGCTCTAAGCCTCAGACACTGGGCCCTGCCTGCTTCCTGGGTGTTTATAAACACACAGTGTGGCTCCTCCTGAACTGTCCTGGGGGAGGACCAATTGCCCGGAGAACCAGGAGGGTCAGGAGTGGGGTTTTCTGGGCGGGACAGTCTCCAGGACAGAGGAATTTGCAGCGACCTGTCTCGCGTGGACTGTGAGGTGCTCTGTCTTCCTGGCATAGCTCACTCCCTGGTGTGACGTTGCTGCGTGATGGGGAGCGGGGAGCCCCCTGCCTAATGGGCCTTGGGTCCCAGCGACCGTCTGTCCTCCCAGGCAGGTGTCCGCAGCAGCCCGGGGCCAAGAGTGTGCGTCATCGACGAGGTGGGGAAGATGGAGCTCTTCAGCCAGCCCTTCGTGCAGGCTGTTCGGCAGACCCTGGCCGCCCCGGGGACCGTGGTCCTGGGCACCATCCCGGTCCCCAAAGGGAAACCGCTGGCCTTCGTGGAGGAAATCCGGAGCCGGGCGGACGTGCAGGTGTTCAGTGTGAGTACCGCTGCCGCCGTGGCTGCGGGCGGAGTGAGTGGGTGACCTGAAACCACAGTGGCTCTCAGTAGACCGTGGCTTTGAACGGCCCCCCTTTTAGCTCTAGGACGGAGTGTGGGTGAGTCTCCCTTTCGAGGAATTGACCTCCACTCCCTGTGCAGACAGACCTCAGGGAGGCCTCGGGCCCAGCTGGCTCTCCCGACTGAGGCTGGTTCTCAGACGGAGCAACCTGGATGCTGAGGAGCCTGTACCTCACCCCTGGCTCACACCTGGGACCTGGCTCATCCTTGGTCCCTGGGTCCTACTTCATAGCAGACCTCACCCCTCCTGGCCTTGCGGGCTCTTGTTCTAGAACAAGCATGTCAAACTCAAAGGCTAACACAGGCCAAACAAACAAGGCAGGCGGCCCGTGGGCTGCGAGTTTGACATGCTCATTCTAGGCCAGTGGTCGGCAAACTCATTAGTCAACAGAGCCAAACACCAACAGTACTTCTTCAAAATAGACTCGCCCAGGCCGGAAACCGACTTCTGCGCATGGGCCACGAAGTTTCAATCCCACTGTACGTGCGCCCGCACGTGGTATTTTGTGCAAGAGCCACACTCAAGGGGCCGAAGAACCGCATGTGGCTCGCGAGCCGCAGTTTGCCGACCACAGTTCTAGATCATTGACTGCGGGGGGCAGGAAGGGAGGAAAGGGGCTCTGAGGCCTCCTGCTTCCCCCCCCGCAGGTCACCAAGGAGAACAGGAACCACCTCTTGCCGGATATTGTGAGGTGCGTGCAGAGCGGCGGGAAGTGAGTGATGGGCTCGCCCGCCCGTCCAGCAGCCCGGCCCGAGGGCGCCGGGCCCCCCGGCTCTGAACCGTGTGGGTTTCCGCAGGGAAAGCCTGCAGCTGTTTCCCATAAAGGGTTCAGAGGGCGAGTCGGCCTGCACGCTGGCCCGCCACAGGACTGGTCATGGCCGTGCGTATCCGCGGCTGTTTATTTCCTCTGCGGTTGTGCGTCTGATTGGGGTAAATTCTGAGATGAGGAAGGTTCCGGGAACCAGATGGGATCCGCCCCAGTGAAGCTGATGAATGTGTGTGGGGGAAGGGGGGCTACTGCCTCATCTGTTCTGCACTTCGCGGACGTGAAGCCCTCCCAGGTGCAGCCTCCCAGTGCGTCCGCATCTCGTGCAGCCTGAAGCGTGAAGTTACTTGATCTTTAAAAGGATTATTTTGAAAGAAGAGCCCTTCGGGCCCTCCCCCCACCATCTTTTACTGTTTCCTTGTTTGCTTATTACTTTATAAAATAAAAGGAGCGTGATGGTTGCAGACACGTGGGTGCTCGTGTGGAGGGATGCAGCGTGGAGCCGGCCCCTTGGCGCTCGGCAGGTGTGGGCGGGGTCAGGGGTCAGACCAGGGCTCCACCTTGGCCAGGTCCTTAAACCTTTCTGTGCTTCGTTTCCCGCCCCAAAAACGGGAAATGTGTCGTCACAGGGCGGCTGTGGCCACCGTGGGAGGGACCCCCATTACCCCCGCTTGCTCCCCGGGGAGCCCAGGCCAGGCTGTCAGATGGCGGTGGAGAGAGGGAAAGCCCGCAGCCGGCCTGGAGGAGCCACTGGTCCCCGGAATCGGAGGGTGACACCGCCCTGGAGTGGTCGGTGCACTGGTGTGATTCAGTTTCGTGTGTTTTGGTGATTTCTGGTGAAGATCTAGGACTTTCTGGGACTTTCTTAGCAATTAGCATTAGCTACGAACTTGGCCGGCGTCAGTGCCGGGTGTGCAGTGAGGAACTGTGTACGACTGTTTCCAACTTCAGTGTTTCTAAGTACTGCTTTTCTGAAGGGAGGTTCCTGGGGAGTGATGGGTCCCTCAGGGTGGAGGCCAGCCTGCAGCTCAGCCCTGGGACACAGGGTGGGAAAAGTCCCAGGATCGGCCCAAATGCTCCTCCCAGGAAAGGACTCATTTTAAGAAATGACAAGTTTCGGCAGAACGAAAAGAACTGGAAACAGCAGTAACTACAAACCCTTTAATTCCAAAAAAACAGGAGTGTGCAGGTGGCCCGGGACCCGGTGGGGACCCCTTGGCCTGGGGAGCAAGCGTGTGTCCCGCGAGGACCCGGCCTGGTGGCCTTTGGGACGCCGCTCTGGCGTGTGGGGCACTGCGTCCCTCCCCGACGGTGTCCTTCGGCCTGGGCTGCACGTCCAGCTCTCAGCGGGGATGTGGGCTGTCACACGGGGCCGTGGACATGGCTGCATGCACGTCACCATTCACACGCACCTAACATCAGCGTGTACGCTACAGAGCAGTGAGTGTCTATGCGTGGACGTGTCCTCAGTGCCTGACCCGTGGCTGGTGGTCTGTGTGGACGTGACCTCAGCGCCTGGGCCCATGGCTGGTGAGGTGGGGTGGCCACTACTGCTCTTTCTTGGTGACGGGAGTGTGCAGAGGTCAGCTGGTCAGCATGCGGGTGTTGGATTTCCGTCGGGCTGGGAGTCGCAGATGGGCTCTTGGCTTTTGTTTGAATCCAAATTCTGGAGAGTTTTGTGCCTCATTCCGCTGTGGGGCAGTGGGCAGGAGGCCCGGTCCACTGGTTTTGTCCATCATGTGAGATAATGTTCAAGAACCTGAGATACAGTCAGTCAGTTTCCACACCAGCTGTCACTCGTCCACGGGGAGGGCCCACGTGGATGACAGTGTTGGCTGCTTTTGGTTTTGGGGGGAGCAGAAGGGAGAGGAAGGCAGGCGGAGCCGTGGGGGACTCGGTCTCTCCCAGTGTGGGGGCCCCTCCTGGCCCTACTGCTCGTCCGAGGCGCTGTGCTGGGAGGCCGTGTCGTCCAGGCCCATGTCCTCCTGGCTGGCCCTCCTGCAGACCACGCCGAGGCCCGCGGCCAGGCGCCCGCCACGCTGCCCCTGCTCAGCGGCCTCCGTGGGGTCGCACGGCTCGGAGAAGTGCTTCCGGAGAGAAAAGAGAAGCAGACGGCTCAGCAGACAGGTACGGCCACTTCCCACTCGTGCGAGATGCTGCCAGCCCAACCTGCTGACCGCCAGCGGCAGGGGGTGAGCACAGGGGGACCCCAAGGGGATGAAGGGGGGGCCTCATCCACCTCCAGTAACTGCCCCGGGGCCGTGACGGAGCCTGGGAGCCTAGTCTGACATGGATGTGCGTACCCCCATGTCTCCCATGTGCCCTGACGCCTCCCGTGTGCCCTCCCTGCCCCGGGACAGGAGAGGGCGGCCGGGTGCCGGGCATGCGTCGCTGTAGCTGGCTGGAACCCTGGCTGATGACAGTCCCTTGGGGGTGTCCTCGGAGCTCTCTCTAAAGTGTAAGCAGACAAGTAGGCGGCCTCGGCACTGAGCTGACCTCGCATGGGAATCGGTGGCGATGGAACCCAGTGCTGACGTGCGCCGTGCCCTGTGCCTGACCTGTCCCTCGGGCAGGGCGTGGTTTGAAGAGAACGAGGTGGCCCCTGCTCCCGCTGATGAGGGGGGACACCCCCAGGTGGGCACAGGCTCGGGGACTGAGCTGTGATACCCGCCTGCCTAGCGTTACCCAGGGCGTGACTAACGTTTGTCGGCCTCCGTGCGGCAGACGCCTCCTGGCTGACCTGTCATCTGTCACTATTGGGGGAGAAGGGGTCTGGGGCAGCTGGACGGGCCACCAGCCAGGATCCCGCCCACCCGGCCCCCTGGGCGCCCCTTACCCTGGTGGCCTGGCCGGTGGCCCGGGCCGAGGGGCCGAGCGCCAGGTTGACGCTGCTGGAGGACTGCGTGTCGCTGGTGGTGCCCCCCTCGGCAGCTGAGAGCCCCGAGATGACGAGGGCGCTGGAGAAGCTCCTCTTGCCGAAGAGGAAGCTGAGGGTGGAGCTGCTGGAGGAGCCCAGGCTGGACCGGACCAGGGCCTCGGCCCGCTCGCGGACGCCCAGGTGGCCGGTGGTGGCGGGCGGCGGCTGCGAGTGCAGGGACGCGGCCGAGGAGCGCAGGGAGAGCCGGCTGCCCTCCAGCCGGGGGGCCAGGCCGTGGGCCGACGAGGACGTGGGGAGGAAGGCCTGGCGGCTCTCCAGGATTGGGCCCGACGAGCTCAGGAAGGGCGGCCTTGGGCTCAGGGCCCCGTGGGCCTGGACAGACTGGCTCCTGCCCTTCCTCCGGCCTTTAAAGGAAAGCAGTGCAGGTTGGCATGCGGGTGGGCACCCATGTCAGCGCCAGCGCAGGGAGGTGGGCCCCCTGAGAGCCGCACACTGACCCAGGACGCCTGCAGCCCCAACGCTGGCAGGAGGCATGGGTGGGGGCAGCAGCCAGGGTGAGGGACCCACCCCGTTTGCCAGGACTTCACTGGTTTTGACACTAAAGTCGCCCGTTCCTGGGAGTCCTGGTCCGACACGCCAGCGGCGTCACTCACCCTCGGTCACTAACCCCTGTGCCCGGGCCTGGGCGCCTGTG